GGTTTCAAACTAAAGGGCAACAGGCAGATGCTGTCCACACACTTGGGCTTTGTGACTGCACTTCCCTGTATCCTCCAAAATCAATCCAGGACAGGAGGATGCGTGGGGAGGAGCTCGCTGCATTATAGTCTGTAGTACAAACCCCAACCTGAGCACCACCCATCAAGACGACTTTAAAAGTTCCAGCATAAGCACACGATGTCTCCAACATACAGTGTTAAAAAGAATAACCTAGGGCTGTAGCTACTGACCAAACGGACACTCACCACAGTGAGGTGACCCACTGTTGCCCAAGGAAGCAAGGCCTGCAAGCTCCTCCTCAAAGAGCCAGGTGGCACATCTGGGCTCCAGGCCACGTGGTCCTTGCTGACCTTTTAAGTCCTCCGCCTCAGCTCAAGGTAGACAGAGGCAACGTGATGAGCGGACGTGGCTGGGCTCTGGAAGAGCTTCGCCCACAGAAAGGTGGCACGGTCACGGACCAGTGTGCCAGCCCTGTCCAACTATAACTCCACTTGGGGACAAGTAGAACAGGCACACACCTGCAGAGTGTAGGTCTGCGTGGTGACATCCATCAGTCAACTCCAGTCACCCACAGGGCCAGCCCTGAGGAGGGTCATTAGTGTCACCTAGCTCCACGTTGCTGGACTTGTTAGAGTACACACTTTTTTTTTAAATTCGGATAAAATATTTAATTATTTAGCAACTGTATGAAATAGGTTTCTAGTGATTGCTTTCACTAAAATCTATTTTCCGTAATATATCCAGCCAATATTTTTATTGTAACTAACAAGCCCTTCCATAATTCATAATTAATTGGATGCCAACTGTCATGTGAGAACTTCCAGCTAGAAAGTTTCCCAAAAGGTAGAAATGATAGCAAGTCATGAGAAACCAATAAAATAACTTTCATTCTCTTTCCCAGTGAGAAGGCAATCGATAGAGAGGAGTGGCCTAAAATTTAAGCGTGCAAGCCTGGAATGCCCCATGAATTGAACCAGTCAGTGACCATGGGGTGAGGGGTAAGGACAGTTTATGCAAGTTTCAAATGACATGACAGCTAAGCATTAGGCCAAGATGTGGGCCTGGGTCTAAATTCTACTCTAAACATTCCCTTGACATCGGCCAAATAGAGCACATTCCCATAGAAAATCTAATCCTCATGCCTTAGGGGCACCCTCAACTCCCAGGAAAATGGACAGAGGACAGAAAGCAACTGGCCAGCCCACTGCTTCGACATAAGGAGAAGGAAGACCCCTGTTCCACCCCAACAGGTGAGGGCTGCCAGCGACATGCTGTTCCCTGAACCCCGTAGGCTTCAAAGAACTGGGTGGAGACCATCTTCCACATTCCCTGTCAAAACTGACCCATTACTGCATCACAAGCCACGCTGGACCTCCTCCCCTGTGGCTCAGCCACAGCAGAGTGGCTGCTAATTCACGAGTGTGGCAGAAGCGGACAGGATCTTGTAGCGGCCACTCTCTCCTCAGCAGGACACCAACATGGATGGCTACAAGCCAGCTGGGAAGATACGAGTCCTCCCGGCATCCCTCACAGGTGGTGTGGCCACACGACAGGGTCAGAGGTGACTTCGGAAGCCACGGTTAGTGCACTTGAGGACTCAGAGTGCTGATCCACAATGGAAGGCCAGAGGCAGGGGACAGGGCAACCTGCTAGGTCAACTGATAGCAAAGTCAGCACAGAACTTTCTGTGCCAAAACCCCCAGTCTGAAGCTCTGCGCCACGGTGGACTGCAGAACGCAAACTGTTCTGGTTCCCTCGGGGGAGAGGTGAAGGAAGCAAGACGCAGCAGACAGCCTGCATGCCATCCACCCATTTCCCTCGCCCTGGGCACAGGTATAACAGGCTGCCAGCAGGGACCTGATGTTGTTTACCTCATAACGCACCATGACCTGCTTTCTATACTGAAAGTTATGTCAGTTATGTGTCATTGGTGCTTGTGTCCTCGGCTTTCTTCTCAACCCAAAGGCTCCAAGCCCTCCAGACAGGGGCTGTTCTCCCCAGAGCACTGGTAAGGGCACAGGGCACAGCCAGCCAAACTGGAAGGGCATGCGCCAGAACACGAAGCTCAAGAGCCTCTCATTCTTGCTTTCTCCTTTCTCACTTCCCTCTTTTTCAGTCTCTATAATGACTACTTTAAACACACACACACACACACGAAACTCAGGCTGCTTTTCTTGCTGAGAAACAAGCCCAAAGAGGTGGCACTGGGTTTGGAGGCCCTTTGGCCTGCAGGTGTGCGCACTCATAGCCTCTGCCAAGACAGCCCGGCCACAGCGAGGCCTCGCAACTGCGCAGGGCAGCCCCTGCAATCCGCTGGTGGTCTTAGGATGAGACAAACCCAATGCAAATGAAGGCAGGAATAATTCAAGGCACAGCAGCGCCTGGCCTAACTGACTGCTCCTAGAGGGAGGAGGACGGTCTAGAAAGACTGGGTCCCTAAAAGGGTGAGAGTATTCAGAAACAATCGGTGAGAAACAGAAAGGTAATGGGCACCCGAGAAGGCATCCAGGTACAGCACGTGCTGAGAATGTCCCCCAAACACTGTGCCACCCCGCACATGCCACAGCTGATGTCCTCATGCCCACCTGTCCCCATCACTGGATTGGCCTCCCGCGGGGAAAGGCCAGGAACACCCTCTCCCCAGCCAAGGCCACCCTGCCCACCCAGGCACCAGTCTGAGCTCGAGATGGGCAGACACGGTGCACTATTTACCTCCACATCCGGGCACCCACCACTCCCCCCTAGTGTGCCTTGGGAAAAGCACTCGATGACAATCACAGTAACCAACATGTGCACACAGAGCGTGGTGGGGACTTTCACCCAGTCTGGCCTCACTTCATGGGTCCTCACAACTGAGGCATCAAGGAGAGAAGCATCTGGCCAAGTCCACTCACATGCCTAAAATGGGACCTTACAGAAAGGTTACCTATTCCAGGCACAGACCTGGCGTTTGGGCTTCATCCATATGAGCTGTTCAACTATAAGGTGCTCAATAAAGTCATTCGTGCATTCACCCAGTCATTCACCAAATACCTCCTAAGCACCACAAGGAGCCAGGCACTGTCCCAGAAGCTGGGTAAACAAAGGCATGAAAACCAAGCCAGGCCCTTCTCCCGTGGACTGACAGTTAGTCAATGTCTCTCAACTATGTTGATAATGAAAGGAAGAAATCAGAACTTCCAAGTATAAAATAGGCAGCAGTACCATAGCCCTGGGACTGGCCAACAAGGGGAAAGCAGAGAGGCACATGTGGGGCGGGGAGAGCAGACTGGTGACCAGGGTGGACACGCCAGGTGGCAGGAAGGTGCAGACAGAGTGTGAGGGCATACCACAGAGAGGAGGGGACTATGACTGAAGTGCCAAGAGCGAGAGCAAGAACACAGCCTCTGAACAGCCCAGCCCTGAAGGCCAGCTTTCTCTCCTTGGAGGGTGTCTAAGGCTCCACCCAGTCCAAGAGAAAGCCATTTAGGCAGCCATCCAGCCATCGTCACCCCACTCAAGCCAAGTGACCAGCTGCCTCAGGAGAGCTGTAACTAGAAACTTCAAACAGAGGGGTTTTCAAGACCTGAGCGGCCTTTATCACAACAAGCACCTGCAGGCTCCAGGAAGGAGAGGGGCTGAAGACCAAAGGGGCCAACGGACACACACACAAGAATTGCAACGCCAGGCTCTGAAAACCAGCCGTGGGGCTAAGCACACAAGGCAGGAGTGATGCACTCAGATGCTCCAGTGTGGTTTTGGGGTCTTTGTTTCCTACCAAACAGTGAAAAGGAAGTGAACAAAAATCTCGAATTGATAATCTTCCCAGCCAACCGCTCCTGCAATGACTTGAGAAGAAAACATCCCGCTGGGGTAAAATCAGGTTGAGCAAACATTCACCCTTACAGAGGCCCCCAGGACACACAGCCAGGCCTAGAACCAGGGCCTGGGTCTTCTGGAGACCATGACATAGTAGCTTTGATGACACTTCCCAGGAACGATGTGCAAGGGGTGGCCTGGGAAGACTTGAGCAATGCCCACTCCTCCCACATGACTTCTGCCAGCCTCACCCTCCCAAACCACCTATCCAATACCAATGGTCCCTCCTTCCTCATGCACCAATTAAGCAACCACATTTCCCAGAATTCTTTGCAATTAGGAGCAGCCAAAGGGCTTTAAGTACAAGTAATGAAATAAGAAGGAATTTTCTCAAAGGAAGCTTATTATTTTTAAAGCTTTGAATCCTGTAGAGTTCAACTGTGCAATGCATTCCGTGCTAGTCTAACCTCCTGCTTCTACCAGTCAGAAAGTCAGATGCAATGGCTGGAACGCCAGCTGTCATAAAGGAAGCATGAAGCCATCGTGAAAATACAAGGGCATGCCAGGGGCTGGGTGAGATAGTGCCACCTATAATCCCAGCCACTCAGGAGGAGAGGCTGAGGCAGGAGGATCACAAGTTCCAGGCCAGCTGATCAGCTTAGCAAGACTCTGTCTCAAAATTTAAAAAAAAAAAAAATTCTTTTCTTCTTTAAAGGGGTAAAGATATAGCTTAGTGTCAAAACACTCAAAATAAAAGGGGGGGGGGGCATGCAATGAGGACAACAGAACAAGAGCAGCTTAAGTCCCTGATGGCCACCATACACTCACTTCCACCTCAGACTAGACTGACTACGTCCAGACTTCTGTTAGGTAGAAGACAACCCATGTAGCAATCATGCCACGGGATGCACCACCATGCAAGCGCCTTAAGACCAAGACACAAACCTTCAAGTGCACAGACTGGTGCGATGCCCAGTAACAGCAGCAAGTCTCACGACAGTAGTTTGCACTTAGCAACAACACACAGCGGGTTCCTCCACGTGAGTGACTCTCTGGAACCCTCACCAGCACCTTTTCTCTAATTCATCTGAGTATGCACTCAAAGGTCGAGCAACGCCTACACGCCAGTCAGAGGGGTTCATGGGACGGCTCGGCCTCCCCGCCTGGGCTGTCTCCCTCACCTTCAGCTGTAGGGCCTTCTCTTTTCAGCATCTGGACAGCTCCTACATATTTCTTCAGCTGGACTTTGAGCACCTCGTTTTCTCTGCAGGTACAAGAATGTTAAAAAAAAAAATAAATTTAAAAATTGGCAATTTAGACCCAAAGCAGGGGAGGGGGGGTGTCTGTGTACAGAAAAACACACACTTTACATCTTACAAATATTAACATTCTCATTCCAGAGATCATCGCTGGAAAGGGCTGTTACCAAGCACATATTTGTGGAATGCCTTCAAGAACCTTCCTTCTGGAATGGAGGCAAGCACCGGCCACAATGCCGCCAACTCGGGACACTGACACTCGCCGTGCCTCCCGTCTGCCCAGGGCCTGTTCGGTGTCAAGCCCTCTGTGATATTCTCCCCTTCAACAGCAGCATGTACCAAGCACCGTGCATTTGTCCCAGTCACTAACTGCTCCATGCACTAACACCACCTGCCAGGCCCCAGGTCAAGTGTCTGTACACATCTGACTGGATCCTCGCCATTTCACAGAAGAGAAAACTGAGGCACCAAGGAGAGAAGCAACTAACCAAGTCCACTCACATCTCTACGCAACATCACACTATGGAACGTGGATCCCATGCTACCCCAAGACCCCACCTGATTCACCTCCCCAGGTACACTGGCTGAGGATGGGATGTGAGGATCAGGGGAGCAAGCTGCACCACAGAGTGTAGACTTGAAGGATGTCATCTCACCAAGTCACACACACGCACGTTCAACCATCTGTTCTTCCTTCAGTGGAAGAATGCACTGTGACCCCATGGATTCTCCCCACTTGACAGGAAAAGAGTTGGACAGTCTCTGCTCAAGATCATATTGCTAAGAGTGACCAGTAAGACAGGCTGCCAAGATCCAAACTCAGGTCTCTGTCCCCAAGGCCCACAGGAGCTTCTCCTTAGGAATGCAGACTTGGTCTCTCAACAGAGAAGTGCCCCCTCCATATTGTTTCTGTCCCCGCTCCACCCCAGGACATGAGCTTGAGTCCTTTAAACATGCCATAAGACTTTTTCTTTCCTCACAATGAAAAGAACTCAAGACTGGGTTTCTTCCCTGGTTATAAAAATAAAAAGGCTCAGTACAAAAAAAAAAAAAATCAGATTTATGGAGAGTAAAAATGAGCTGAAAACCATGGCATGTCTTCTGCTCCACTTACCCTTCACCCTCAGTAGCCTGGCATGGGCGTGTGCCCTCCTCAATGCCCAGATGATCACTAACACTCCACACACTCCTAGACCTGACTTCCACAGCAGGATCATACTGTAAGTTGTTCTGCAACTGAGTCGTTTCATATAACTTTTTACCAGAGTGAGCCACCAACTCCACCATGTTTCCTCAGCTGGAAAACTCTGAATTGGCTGGTTTTGTGTGCCCGTTCTCAATGCACCTGGCTATAACTCAGTCTACAAAGACAGCACCTTCTGGGTGTTATGCTTCTCTGCACTGAGTTTTGGAAGACAGAGCATCAGGATCAAATGCAGAAACTATCGTATACTTAGAATTCTATATTCATCTTAAAAGCTTAGAGAAAGTAAGTCACAAAGAAGTCACTCCATCATCCCCCTCCCCCTAGGCAGTCTGCCATGGATGTTTCTATGGGTAATTACACTCTCTCCACCTGTGATATGAATAGCAAATATTTAAAACAAGTTGTGCAAAGGTTTGTGGGAGGGAAAGTTCCCCAGTGTACATGAGGGTACAATGTGTTCCCTTGGAATCCTTTAACCAGAACTTTACCACCCATCACGACTGGCTCCTAATTGCCACGTATAAACTCAAGTCACAAATCATCTTAAGAGTAGAAAAAGAAAATTTATACACGTTTTTTTCCCCACATGTCTTAAACTTAACCACCATTTATGGAAGAACTTTGTTTTGGCAGAACCCAGGGGTACTCTACCACTGAGCTACACCCCAGACTTTATTTTTTAAGATAGGGTCAAAGTTGCAGACTGGCCTCAAGATCATGATCCTCTGAGTTGCCGAGATCACAAGTGTGCACCACCATGCCTGGCTTGAAAAACATTTTCCAAAACAGGTAGGATCCACCCAAACCAACCAAAGGTGTGGTATGTTGACACTCGGTTGCCAGGTCTCATCTCATGGGCTATCAACAGATCAACGGCCAAACCCTTGGCTTCCTTGTTTATCTTCAACTCTGTGGTCAGCACTAAAATGTTTCAGGTGGTTGCTTTATTCCTATTTGAATCAATCTTTTAATAGTGTGTTAAGACAATGTCTAAAAAAAAAAAAAAAACACACCTAATACAATGGCAAGAATTTTAATATAAATTAAAAACAATGAGAAGCTGTGGGGAGTGCATCCCACCACTGGACGACACCTCTAGGAGCTGGAAATCCACCCCAGACAACTCTACCACTGAACTCGTTTGCCTTTGTGAGAAACTAACACTCATGGGCCTCTGGGACTAAAGAAGTCCTTCCTGAATGACACCCAAACTCCCAGCCACAGTGCCAGCCACTCCAGGGACACTGAGTCCTGATGCTTAGAAAGGACCAACCCCTTTTGGTTTTTAATTTTTATTTTGAAGTAATTATAGGTTCACAGGAAATTGCAAAGATAATGCCATCAAGTCCCGTACACCCCAGCCCTGTTTTCCCCCAACAGTTATATCTTACTCAAGGGCAATATCACACCCAGGAAATCCACACCAGCACAATGTATGCAATGTGTGTGTGTAACATGATCAGTCCCACTGCTGTAACTGATGCTCGGAATAATCTTTTGCCATAGTTCTTTTTTTTGGAGCAGGTGGATACCGGCACTTGACCACTGAGCCACATCCCCAGCCCTATTTTGTATTTTATTTAGAGATAGGGTCTCACTGAGTTGCTTAGTGCTTCACCATTGCTGAAGCTGGCTTTGAACTCATGATTCTCCTGCCTAAGCCCTCCAAGCCTCTGGGATTACAGCTGTGCACCACCGCATCCAGCTCCTAGTATGTCTCTTAAGATAGAACACAGACTTTAATGACTACAGCATCAGGCTGTGCCCCTGCATAAAACAAACGAGATGGAAGACCCAGGCACTGTGGCACACTAAGGAGGTCTCGGCCCCCTCAGCTCAGACAAAAGGGCTCTTGTCCCTCTTAAAAGTTTTTGTTTGTTTTTTTAACTTACCATGTTTCTAGCCTAAGAAAATAATCCCCAAACTTTAAACAACTAATTTGCAACTACTAAACAGCACTTTCATTTGTACACGAAAAATCAAATGGAATTTATCATTTTTTAAAAAATACTTTTTTTTAGTTGTAGTTGGACACAATACCTTTGTTTTTTATTATTTATTTGTTTATTTATTTATTTATTTTTAATGTGGTGCTGAGGATCAAACCCAGGGCCTCGTACATGCTAGGCGAGTGCTCTATTGCTGAGCCACAACCCCAGCCCCCCCCCCGGATTTATCATTCTTAACAGTACACAGATCTCTATTAGGATCTTCAGATTAAGATGCCTCTGACTTCACCCTGACAAGCCGGTGGTGCTCCATCAAGTCATTAGACGCAGCCTGACAATGAGAGGCCTTGGAAATGCCCTTGCACATGAGAAAGACAGGGATGTGGCTGATGCCCACCCCAGCGGGGACCATCTGCCCAGAGCCAGGTGGTGTTTAGACAACAGAAATGGAACGGTAACAAGAGACCAGACCCTGACTTTCGTGGAGGTGATATTTATCATGGTGAAGTGGTCCAACCAGTCAGGGAACAGGTAATAGGGTCTCAGATAACAATAAATACTGCAAAAATAAAGCTAGGGCAGGGATGGAGTATGGGAGTTTTTAATACAGGGGAATCTAAGAAGGCCTTTCTAGAAGGTGACAAACAAGACAAGATCTGGAGGAGGTGAGGCTCCACACCATTTCCATGAGGGACAGTGCTAGAACACATGGACCTGGTGCTGGTTAAAGTTCAGTTTCCAACTGAGCAGCTGGGGGTCGCGGGGGGTGGGGGATGCTGGGACTCGGTAACTAACAGCCCAGGCATGTCTCCAGGACCAAGCTCAGGCAGAACAAAGAGCCAAGGAAAAGCCCCAGCCAGCCTGAGCTTGCCAGGGAAGCCAGGCAGCCAAGGAGGCCAGGAGTCACAAAGGCCACTGCAGCCAGGGCAAGGGATGCGGGGTTAGTTCTGGAGAAGGGCGTCCAGTGCAAGTGCTAAGCTGGGCGAGGACACATGCAGTGAGAGAAACGCTGGAGTGGGCAGAGGAGATGCCAGCCATTGCAGCCGTCCAGAAGCAACGACAGCAGCCAGGATGGGAAGGCTGGGGTGGTGGCTGGGGAGACGGAAAGAGCGTGCAGACACTCATCCACAGGATTCCAGAAAGCCTTGCCAACTCTGGCTCCCAGCCCCAAATATGCCTGCTGGCCACCCCGCCGCTTCCTTTAAAATCACCAGGAAAGCAAGCAAAGCACTGAGTAGGTGGCAAGTACCTCTCACACAGCTCCCGGTGACTGCAGTAATTAATGTTTGTAAGTCAAAGCAATTACATCTGCCCCGATGTCAGAATAAACAACCAGCAACCTCGACAGCACCACTCAGTGGATAATTACTCCAAACAAAACTAACGAACCTGTTAAGTGCACTTGGTAATTCACAGGCATGGAAACACCACAAGACGACACACTTACAGGAATTTTGCTTTCCCAGATGAAAGCATGGCTTGAGGGTGGCTCAGTTCTACTATCTGCTGGGTACAGTGGGTCCCACCTGTCAATACCAGCCATTAGAAGAACCTGAGTTGGGGGCCACGCTGCCCAGGGCAGTGGGCACTGCTCCAAAACAAGCATCAACAAAAGGCAGGAAGGGCGGCACCAACCACCTGGCTTTGTGGGGTTTACAGCCGCTCCTAAGATCTCAAGTTCAAGATCACTGCAAAAAGCTAAGAAACCATTTCCTCCAAACTGTGCACACAGCTGTTGGCGTCCTCTCACTCCAGCTCCAACCACCCCCTTCACTTTTCCTAAGTCACTGGACCTTGCAAAGCTACTGCCACGCAGAACACAACGCATCTCCTTGGCTTTCTTTATGGG